GAGGTGTGTGTGTGTGTGTGTGTGTGTGTGTGTGTGTGTGTGTTACAGGAGGCGAGGAAGACCACGCACGGGGTTACACAGTAGGGAGACACAGGGCGAGGACTGTGCTAGGTGTGTGTGTGTGTGTGTGTGTGTGTGTGTGTGTGTGTGTGTGTGTGTGTTACAGGGGGCGAGGAAGACCACGCACGGAGTTACACAGCGAGGAGACAGAGGGCAAGGACTGAGCCACACACCTATTGGGGAAGGGGGTGACAAAGAATAGAGGACAGTAGAACCTGCTCCTACAGTCACCTCTCCAAGACAATCACTGACAAAGAACAGAGGACAGTAGAACCTGCTCCTACAGTCACCTCTCCAAGACAATCACCCGTACAAATCTACAATAGAATCACTTTCCAAAGAAGCATCTATATTTTGGTTCGGAAATATTCATTTTTCCAAATTTCCCTGCCTTTCAATATCCTTTCATTTGATAAATAGTATGTTCATTATACCTTGCTCGTAAAACGGTAAATCAGCGGACAAAACGAAAACTTCTGTAGTCTCAACGTGATTGCTGGCGGAAGAAATTACATCCAGGCAGGAAGAGAAGTATGTAGCCCAGAAATAAGGGAGAAATGTGACCGTACACTACAGGAACAGCTAGGGACAAAAGCTGAGAAAACAATGGAAGAAACAAACATGGCCTTGACGCGCTGCAGTCTGAAGAGATGATCTCCCAACAATGTCAGACGTTTCTACAAAATGAGTTCCCAGCTCTCCGTATGGGAGATCTATGATATAATATGTCAACCGGCGTACAATTTGTACTGGGGTAGATCTCTACCACAACAACTTCAAACGCCCGGGCAGACAAGAGTCTTACAAAGTGAGGCTTGACAACTTCCCTTCTCAGCACAAAATCAGTCAAGGTCATCTAAACATTTTTTAAAATTTCATTTAACTCAATCTGCACTACTGCACACATCTAGCCTTTTAGCACGCCAGATATAATACACATAATGGAGTCATCTGCCTCCTGGAATGAAATAGGAAAATTTTTCAAGATCAATCTAACAATTATGTATTTGGCAATCAATCAGCCAGTAGTAGTAGTAGTTACCACACACTCTATCACTGTTGCCTTGTAGCTATAGAGTTGGGTCAGCTATTCTGGACGCACCTAGTGGGACTGAAACTATTTCTTCCACACAGAAAGATGTGCCACAGTACCCTGTCAAAGGAGGCGTAAATGTGGACAGTTTTCCCGTACACACGAAGTCTGACCCAGCACCGCCTAGAACCCTGCCGGCAACTCAACCGTCTTTTTAGTTTTAGTAGACGTTTTACGGCGCTCGCAACTGCATAAGGTCATAGGAGCGTCAAGGGGTGGATGTCAACAGAGAAGTCCAAACAGGGAATCAGACTTACTCTGCTCACCTCTCTAGCCTCAACAGCACAAAGTCTGCTTCTCTCACCCGTCTACTCACTCACCTAACAACAACAACAACAACAACAACAACAACGGTCATCATGAACTTTTGATCATCATCCCGCTATGACTAGTCGACCAGACACTTCTGAAACAGGTTCACAGTTCAGACACAGGCCCCAGTCGCTTAAACCCACACACCACACAGTCCAGACAGAAGCATTTCATTCAATCCTCTGCAAGTGTGTGTGTCCAAGACAGTGCCAAACACATTCAACCATCGCAAGACTTTTCCTCTTCATTTGGGCACAACGGCGTGACTGTCGGCCTATAGTGAGCACTTATCGCACCGAGGTTTGTACAGAGAGCAAAGAACGGTGGCCATGACTGTGCTCCGTCTAGAAGTACAGACAGGTGTGTGTGTGTGTGGTAAGTCTCTCCCCCCCCCACCCCTCGTCCCAGGTCTAGAAGCACAGGTGTGTGGTAAGTCCGTCGCCGCCCCCCCCTCCCCCCCAGAT